TTACAGGCACCCGCCACCACACCCAGCTATTTTTTGTATTTTCAGTAGACATGGGGTTTCGCTATATTGGCCAGGCTGGTCTCGAACTCCTGACCTCAGGTAATCCGCCTGCCTCAGCTTCCCAAAGTGCCGGGATTACAGGTGTGAGCAACCATGCCCCACCCTCCCGATTCTTAAGAGTTGGTATCACAAAACAACATCCTTATCTATGAAGAGCCCAGGAGTCCCTGAACACACATTTCTGCCTCTAGCTTTTCAGTATGTATAAAGCCCATTTCCTTACAAAAGCTTACCAGGATCCTGCATTTTGGTTCCAAAAAATCAACTCTTCACAATATTAATTGTACAAGTTAAAGATGGGAACTATCTGGCTCATCAGGAGAAAAAAAATCTTTTTTGTGGTTGTTTTTTTCCTCAAATCATAGTAAGTACAATGTCAATTAAGTGTTGGTTCTGACAGCCAAGGAAGCTCACATGATCTTAGAATGAATCAGTAAAAGTACAGAATGAAAGATAAGCAAGACTTGCTTCTCTCTGTACTAATCAGAATATACCTAAAAGATTGAGTCCTGGGCCAGGTGCAATGGCTCACGCCTATAATCCCAGCATTTCAGGAGGCCAAGGTGGGAAAATCACTTGAGGTCAGGAGTTTGAGACCAGCCTGGCCAACACAGTGATACCCTGTCTCTACTAAAAATACAATAATTAGCCAGACATGGTGGTCCGTGCCTATAGTCCCAGCTACTTGGGAGGCTGAGGCAGGAGGATCACCTGAGCCTGAGAGACGGGGATTGCAGTGAGCCAAGATCACACCACGGTACTCCAGCCTGGGCTACAGAGCAAGATCTTGTATTTAAAAAAATGAGTCCCACACTTTCTGTTTGTTTTTCTGGCCTCTTCCCTGTACGTAGAGGCCCACACTTCAAGACAGATAATTAAACTGAAAAATATTCAGAGGAGAGTGGCATAAAACCTAGGTCACATGAGCTAAAGAGAGTGAGTTTATGAACTTTAGAGATGAGGACTCAGGAAATATTGTGGCTACCTTCAAACATCTCTAAGGATGTCACACTAAAAAAATAAACAGGAGTTTTTGATATACTCTCAGAAGGGAGAAGCAGTAACAAAAGACAGGTTTTTAATACTTTTTTTTTTTGAGAGTCTCGTTGTCGCCCAGGATGGAGTATAGTGGCGTAATCTCAGCTCACTACAACCTCTGCCTCCCGGGCTCAAGCAATTCTAGTGCCTCAGCCTCCCAAGTACCTGGAATTACAGGCATGCGCCACCATGCCCAGTTAATTTTTGTATTTTTAGTAGAGACGGGGTTTCGTCATGTTGGTCAGGCTGGTCTCGATCTCCTGACCTCAGGTGATCTGCCTGCCTTGGCCTCCCAAAGTGCTGGGATTATAGGAGTGAGCCACTGCATCCGGCCAGTTTTTAATACTCTTAATACTATTCAAAGATGGAAAAGAAAGCCTTGAAAGTATATTCAGTCATTAAGACTGCACTTCTACCTAAAGGCTAGGGATGTATAGAGGGCATCCAAGACTGGGTAGTTAAAACAGTAATTTTTAATTCCTTCACTGGGCATGGCAGCTCACATCTGCAATACCAATAACTAGGGAGGCTGAGCAGGGGGAGGACTGCTTGAGGTCAGGAGTTCAAGATCAGCCTGGGCAAAACAGTGAAATAACATCAACTAAAAAAAAAAAAAATTAGCCTGGCATGGTGATGCACATCTGTAGTCCTAGCTACAAGGAGGCCAAGACAGGAGGATCACTTAGGAACTGAGAAGCTTGAGCCTGCAGTGAGCTATCATCACACCATTGCACTCTAGCCTGGGTAACAGAGCAACGCCCTATCTCTTAAATAAATAAATCCCTTCAATCCTCAGATTTCTGTCATTCTATGCTTGAATAAATTTCCCCAAATATTTGAACCAGTAAGAT